AAATGAAGAAATTCTCAAACATTCTCTTCATCACAACTAGTGCATCAAGTATGACCACTGACAGAAGGATGCACTGGTGTATCCTCGCTCATAACTCCTCAGAGATCGGTCCTTGGTCCTCGAAGCGCAAGTAAGAGCTTTGGGATGGTCTGCAAGATGGCTGAGCAGACCAACTTCCGAATTGAATTTCAATTCAATTTTATTTATATAGCGCCAAATCACAACAACAGTTATCGCACAGCGCTTTTCATAAAAGAGCAGGTCTAGACTGTATTCTGTGACAATATTTACAGAAGCCCAACAGTTCCCACCAAGAGCAAGCACTAGGCGACAAAGGCAAGGAAAAACTTCTTTTAAGAGGCAGAAACCTCGAGCAGAACCATGGCTCAGGGTGGGCGGCTCGACCGGTTGGGGGTGAAGGAGAGAGAGAGAGGGGATGAAGGCAGCCTACACAATATACACACAGAGGTACAGACAGTAAAGGTAATGTTGCTATAGACTGAATGAATAATGGTACAGATATTTATAGTAGTGTTAATAATAATAATCGTAATGTTAATGATTATAATTACAATAATAACAACAGGACTAGTAACAATAATTGTAGCAGAGCGTCGAACAGGAACACAGGGGCAGCAGGTTACTCGCAACCACAGATCCAGACTCCACAGCTCCAGAGCCACAAACACCTGCAGGAAGTGATAGGAGGAGAGAGGAGATGGACGAGAAAGCACAAGACTATGGGAAAGGGAAGAATTCGAGTTAGTAACGTGCATTAATGGGATGAGGTTGCATACAGAGGGAGAGAAAGAGGAGGAGTGAGGAGCTCAGTGCATCATGGGAATTCCCCCCAGCAGTCTAGGCCTATAGCAGCATTCTGGATCAGCTGAAGAGTCTTAATGGACTTTTTCGAGCAGCCTGATAATAAGGAATTGCAGTAATCCAGCCTAGAAGTAACAAATGCATGGACTAGTTTTTCTACATCAGTTTTAGACAGGATATTCCTGATTTTGCAATATTACGTAGGTGAAAAAAAGTGGTCCTTGAAATTTGCCTAATGTGAGACTTAAACGACATGTCCTGATCAGAGATAACTAAAAATTCCTCACAGTGGTGCTGGAGGCCAGGGCGATGCCATCAAGGGAAACTATATCTTTAGATAATGCGGCACGGAGGTGCGTGGGCCCCAGAACAATAACTTCAGTTTTATCTGAGTTTAACATTAGAAAATTACAGGTCATCCAGGTTTTAACATCCTGAAGGCACATTTGAAGTTTAGCGAACTGATGAGTTTCATCTGGCTTGATCGATAGATATAACTGAGTATCATCTGCATAACAATGAAAGTTTATGTTTATGTTTCCTGATAATATTGCCTAAAGGAAGCAAGTGAAGAGGATTGGTTGGAGCACAGATCCATATGGAACTCCATGACTAACTTTGGCGTGCATGGAGGACTCATCATTAACATGTACAAACTGAAATCGATCTGATAGGACTAAAACCAGCTTAGAGCGGTTCCTTTAATGCCAATGAAATGTTCCAGTCTCTATAATAGGATCTGATGGTCAATGGTATCAAATGCAGCACTAAGATCTAATAAAACCAGTACAGAGACAAGTCCTTTGTCTGATGCAATTAGGAGGTCTTTAGTAATTTCACCAGTGCTGTCTCTGTGCTATGATGAACTCTAAATCCTGACTGAAAATCCTCAAATTATTGCTATGTAGAGAGTCACACAGCTGTAAGGCGACTGCTTTCTCAAGGATCTTAGAGAGAAATGGAAGGTTAGATATAGGTCTATAGTTGGCTAAAACATCTGGATCAAGGTTGGGCTTTTTCAGAAGAGGTTTAATTACAGCTACTTTAAAGTACTGTGGTACATAGCCTGTTGATAAAGACAGATTGACATATCTAGTAGAGAAGTGCTGACCTCTTTAAGCAGCCTAGTCGGGATGGGGTCTATGAGGCAGGTTGATGGTTTAGATGAAGAAATTATTGAAGTTAGTTGGTAAAGATTGAGGGAAGCAAAGCAGCCTAAACATATATCTGGTTTTATAGCTGTTTCGAAGGTTCCTGAGTTTGGAGATAAGTCGGTGCCAGGTCTTGGTGAATTATATTTGTAATAGTTAGAATTTTATCATTAAGGAAGCTCATGAAGTTCTAAATACTGAGAGCTATGGGAATACTTGTCAGCCTGGCTACAGTGCTGAAAAGAAACCTGGGGTTGTTCCTATTTTCCTCTATTAATGACGAGTAGTACGCTGCTCTGGCATTAGACTATCTAGCCAAATGAAACGAGAATTTTCCAGTTTGGTGGAACGCCAATTCCTCTCAAGTTGCCACAATATTTGCTTTAATTTGCAAGTTTCAGTATTGTACACTAGTCACTGGGACATAAAAACTACATGAATAGAATCAGAATTAAAATCTGATAAAAATCGCTGAAAGAGTTTGACAACTTTGCCCCAAAATAAGGTTTAAAGCGTTTTTCCTGACCGGTTATACTCCGCCACTTCCGCGTATGTGTAGTGAAATTAAAACAGACCCTTACGTCAGTGGAACCACGTGATTGGCTGAAATCTGATTCTCGCTTTGGCTGTTAAAAGCAGATGATTGGCTTTCTAGCGGGACTGGCGGGATAACCAGCATCTTTGAAAGCGAAAAAGATCATCGGTGCCCATAACGGCAAACATGTCTATGGCCTCACCTCCATGTCTACAAATAAACTACACCTTTTTCCACGTACCATTACCGCTAAAGGAGGCAGAGGAGTAACTGAACATCTGACACACCAAGCAGGAGAAATTAGGAGAGCGAGAGGAAGAAGGAGAAGCCATCGCTAGCGGCTAAGCTAAAGTTGCTAATAGCTAAGCTAAAGTACGGTAGCGTTGGCTACCAAAACTTTTGAAAACAACTGAGATTAAACAGCAGTCAATAAAAGATGGAAAGAACTGTGAGTGCTTAGGCAGAATTACTGTAAGAATAAGTGTTTAGAGGTGGATGTGATATACAGGTGCACATACACATACAAGCATACATGTACACATAAGTATTATGTGCAGGTGTTGTACATGGTAGGTCGATTTGGTACAGTATATACAACATGACAATATGAACAGTTTGAACAGCTTTGAAATGGAGAATGAATAAATAAATAAATGGTAAGTGGTAGCCAGTAAACAGGAATTATTGCACAGGAGTTGTGTCTAATACTGTGAGTCAGAGTCAGCTGTGTCAGTTGTGGTGTACAACCCAAAGCACAGCGCTGGAAAATAACTACATGAAATTAATCCAAGTACATGTTTTTGCTACCAGGGCAGTAAATGTTTAGCTGGCTGTTCGCTTCCATTCTGTAAGCTAACGTTACTGTTTTATTGCCAATTACTGATCAGCTGATTGTCTCGCTAACTTCCGGAAAAGCCAAACCACAGCACTGGAGAATAACAAGGCTTCATGAAATGAATCAAACTAACGTTACATATTTTACACCACTGACGGGGGAACACGTCCCGGCTCTCTGTGATTATGGCCAGCTTCAAGCTAAAGCCATCAAACAACAGCTTTAATTTGCATCGCTTAAATCTGACAAACTTAAGTTAATTACCTGCCCAGCAGGAAACAGACAACTTTAGCTCCGCTTTGAAAACATCTGTCCCACATCAAAGCCTTCCATCTGGGAAAATCCACATCGATTATATGTCCGTGACTTTTTGCTGTCCATCAGCTTTCTGCGTCTGTCCTGATTCCGTCTGGCTTCACGGTAAAAGATCCACAGGCTGTCAGCTCTTGTGCTAAATAACACTTGTGCTCGTTCATTTGTCAAAATGTCACTTTTGTTCTTACTTCTAATAAACCACAGGACTACTCTTTATTATTATTATTATTTCCTCTTCTTCTTCTATGGACACATTTAATGTAGTGACGGGCCAGAATTATACAAGCAGACGAAGAACGCCTTGATGACGAAACGCGCTCTGTAGCACTTTGTTTGGTTTTTGTCGGCTATGGTAGAAACATGACGTCACAATACTGAGACCTCCATGGAAGGGAGTGCCCATGGTTATGTAGAGAGAAATGGCTCATTCTAAGATAATTAACCATAATGGTTCATTATGTAGGGTCTTTACATACCACTGAAAACATAGTTATGGATATTATAATGCATTTCTGTCAGTAAAAAATTAAACTCAATAAATAAGAAAAAATATTACACACTGAACCTTTAATCATACTTATTCTCAAGAATTCTGGATAGAAGTTGCTTTGTTGATTTTTCGGCGCTTTAACGCATCCATATTAGAAGACATAGTCTTGTTTCTAAATTGTAAAACTGACTCACAACCCACTGTGATGGACTGGCAACCTGTTAAGGGTGTACCCCACCTTTTGCCCGATGTCAGCTGGGATAGGCTCCAGCCCCCCGCGACCCTGTACGCAGGATAAGCAGTTGACAATGGATGGATGCATGGACTCACAACCCATTCATAACTCTGTAAAATTACTAGTCTTGTTGGTAAATATAACATCCATAAGGCGAGAACGCTTCAAAACACTCCCTCTTTCCATCTGTTCTGTATAAAATTACAATATCTCTTTGACTCAGTCTCTAAATTATCAAACAAAAAAGCTATTAAAACCTCATTAATGATGAGCAAATGACTTACTAAAAAATCTATTAATATATAGCCTCTATATTACTTTATATCTGCCTCATACACCATGTTTGGGTTTTTTCTTTATTTAGTTTTTATTCATTTCATTTTTCTTGTTGTTTATGTTTTACTGTTCTGTACATTTGTCGGCCGGCTTGGGCTTTATATTTTCTGCATTGCCTTGTCTATTAATGCATATAATGTTCCTGTGATATTGTTAATATTCACTGCTTGTTCATCTATTTGTGGTAAAAGTCTCAAAAAACAACCTTTTTCTAGTTGGAGGTCGGAAATTTCCCAGTTCCGAGTTGCCTGGAATGCAGCATCAGCCACCTCAAAGATGGAACGTGGAACGTCAGTCGGACGTCCATGATGGTATCACGTTACGTAACTTCCTGTACACGCAGGGTCCGTTCGGCAAATCGTCCGCTGTTCTGGTTCAGAAGGCCAAATAGCGATATTTTGGTGAGTTTAAAATCATTTTAAATTCATAAAATTGTATTACCAATTCCTTTATGTCATATAAATTGTTAATTTATTATTATTCATATCTGATATTGAAATTATTCCAGTTACCCTTACTTCACCTTAAGCGACCTTTGTAAAAGTCCTTGACAGTGTGAGCTGTGCAACGTTAGTTAACATGGCTAGCTTAGCACTAGCACTAAACCTTAACTTTTCATAAATTTAACCCAACTACCATTTTTTGTGCACCGTACAGTTGTGGTGCGCTGCGAAGTCGAGTAACGTTGGTCACAAGGGTATTTGGGATGTGTGCTTTGCAAACTACTCCTAGCTGAACAATGTTATACTGCTACTGAAGCGCTAGCGTTAATGTTTAGATACATCAGTTAGCTGCTTTCACGCCTAGTTAAACTGTTTGGTAGGGTTAAAACGAACCCTGGTAGGGGCTGATGTGAAACCTGTCACTCGGGTTTCACGCCTGTTGTTCGGTTCACTTGGTCCGGACCAAGTGAAAAAAAATGATACACTGTTGGATTTTAGTTCTGGCCCGGTTCATGTTCACACTGCAGTTTTACAAACGAACCAAGAGAAGTAACCATGACGTTACACAGGCTTAACGTACAGGTAACTTGATGATTGAACAGCTTTGGCGATTGTCATCCACAATCAATTTCAATCAAATTCTGGTGACTGACAGAAGTTTATGCAGCACTTCAATGCTTCTGATCTGAATCTGAAAGAGCTCAGGAAGAAATAATTGATTATAAGCATGATTAGTAATGTTAGACCCAAGGTAAATAGAGTACAACTGGCCTACCTTTATAACAGCTTTTGACCTGTTAATCAGGGAAAATACCAGTGCTGACAAGTATAGGTTACCAAATGATATTCATAAACAGCCTCTACATGGCTTATACAGATAAAGTATAAGATCACTAAACACATCTCAGCAGATGGATTCATTAGTGGTTTAACTTTGGAAATAATGCTCAGATCACATCTCTGCTATCAGAAAATCCTAGGGTTAGTTTGTTTGCTTTCACCTCACAAGCGGACCGGACCGGAGTTTGTACTGAGACCACCTCTTCAAGGAGGTCGAATTGCAACACACACCCCTCTTTCAAAGCGTGTAGGATAGCTACGCAGATAACATGGAAAATGTTAGCCAAGAGTGTGTAACCTCTTCTCTGTTTCTGCACCACAGTCCATTATAAACCACATAATAGAAAAAGTTTATACAAACATTGACAAGGGAAACACGTTAAGTCTGTCTGTGATTATGGAGTTACTCACATAATCACTTCCTCTTTAGTGGTTTTTCCTACAAAATAAAAGTGCAAGAAATTTCTTTTGTAGAAATGCTTTATTTCATGTTGAATTGACCTTGGCTACTTAGTAATAAAACATATTCTGACCATATTAAATATTATGAATAACAACAATAATACATTAAATACAGTAATACTTAGAGGTGTCCCAAGACATGATATTGGGTTACACAAGAATGAGATTAGAAATTTAACACTTAATTTCATGCATTCTGGTGATTTTTTTTTTGTTGTTGTTGTTTTTCCAGTTTCTGCCTTTTCTGCATCAATTTGTGGTGGAAATGTTTTTATTTATATGTAAGAGAAACACAAAATTCAGGTGACAGGTGACAAATCAAATTCTAAAGCTGCACTGAATATAAAGCATTAAGGATCTCAGACATTCTGCTTTCATATATGTTTCTCCTATAGATCAGCTTTTTTCATGTAATACCATCCCTGCTAAGTGAGCACACATGCAGGCAGGATTCAGTCTTCCCTCCTCTTTGTGTCTTTGTTTGGGGAAGTGACCTCTTTAAATGTCCATGTGGCACCTTTTCACCTCAGTGACTTCAATAGCTCCTGTGTTTCAGCAGGGTTTCTGCTCATGTTCAAAACTTTCTGCACCTTCAGAATCTTTCCCAGATGTGTTCTCTAACAGGTCCAGAAAATATACAATATACAGAATATTACAAGACTAATTTCATCATGAAATGAGAATTCATAATCGTTTTTAAATGTCTAACTGCCCTATACTCTGCTGTACAGTAACCTCATTTGGGACTGTACGTTAGGATGACTGACAAGGAGGTGGAAACCAAAACTAACTGAAACACTTGTGATCAGGCAGAAATCTCACCACAAATCCACACCCGTTAATTTCAGCAGCTCCAATTAAATTGCAGCTCACAGTTTTATGTTTATATTTCAAAAGCTCTCCCAGCTACACTACCACCTGTAACTCATAGCTTGAGAGGGGGTTCAGTTTAGGGCTGCAGCTAACGATGATTTTAGTATTCGTAGCTTCGATTGATTATTTCATCGATGCATCGTTTAAGAAGTACTTTTGCTTGGCAGTGGCCCCACCCACATACACGACTTTCAGCGTTGGCCAATGGCGGTGCAGTCGCTGGTCTCCAAACCATGTTTTGTCAAGAAAACACGCGTGAAATGTGAAACGGGAAATGAGCAATCATACACACGAAACAGCTGTTTGTTAATATAAAGATGGCGATTATAAAGACACAGAATTTGGGTGAAAGGATGGATTAGCACATGCAGGTAGCAGGGATCGTCTGAGCTACAGAGAGCTGGAGGGGGAGTTAAAAGCTGCAGCTCCCCAACACCCAGTTAACTCATGACTCCCAAAAAGGAGAACAACAAACGCACGTGTGCACATTTTCAGCTGAGGACTGCAGCTTACTTTGGCTTCAACTCAACAATAAATCATGATTTCAGTTAAATGCTAAAGTTGCTGTTACTGTCACCTTGTCTGTGATCCGCTGGCAGAACACCGGCTGCTTTCCGATAAGGTTCCACCGTGCTGTCCCCGAGGCGACATAAGTTTCGTATTACGGTGGACGGATGGTAACATTACAAAGTTGTTGTTTTCTTTAGCTTGAAATAATCCCATACTTTTGGACACTTTCTTCTTTGTCCCTCGCTATTTTCTCTCTCTTCCTCCACTTTGCAAACAGCTCCATCATTATCATGTAGTGTTCACAGCGTAAGCGCGATGTGCCACAGTAATAAATGTCCCTGCAAAACACTGTGCTGTAAAGTTAAATGGATTAAATGAAGCATCGATGCAAAGAATTTGTGTTGATAAATTTTCACGGCATAACATGACTTAAAAATGTAGATTAATTTTAGGCAGCGTAGGGCGGGTCTTTTTTCTAGTCCCCTACAGCTGAGCTGAACACGTGAGGACGGTAAAAGACTGCCGAACAAACTGTCCGTCGGAAAGCAAGCCTGATGTAAGACAGAAATAAGTTGGCTTACAATGTTAACTGTCCTGTTGGATACAGTAATGTTGCCACTTTTATAACTTTGCCTTTTGTGTCGGTGTCTTTCTAAGTGAATGAAGGGTCTTTGGGTTTTCGACTGTTGGTTGGACAAAAGAAGCAATCTGAAGACATTAATTTGGAAAATTGATTAACCTTATTATTATTATTATTATTTTTTACAATGTCTTGACATTTTATAGAGTCAACGATTAGTCGATTAATTGTGAAAATAGTCATCAGATTAGTTGATAAGGAAAATAATCGTTAGTTGCAGCCCTACCCATCTCTAGGTAATACATTGACTGTTCCTCATTAGTATTGTGTCTGGTTTCAGCTTCGAAGACGAGATGGCTGCAGCAATGCGTGTGCTTTACTCCGTGTCGAGGCCAGGTAAGCTGCACACAACAGTACTAGTAATTTGAGTACAAATAGATGAATGTCGTACTCCAGTCCTGCTAGTGCAATTTAAAACACAGTTTAACTCGATCTTGTTGAAATTTGATGAAAAGCCACGTGACGTAGTTACTGTGGGATGCATACACAGTTGTCTTAAGCTGCTTGCACACTGCTCTGACCGCACCCAACTAACACCATTCATTGGCAGTAGTTGTTTCAGTCTTTTGAATGTTCAGAAAACCAAATGTCAACTGACAGTTGGTTCAGTTCACTGCCCAGACAGACACTGACCAGACAACCTTTAGCGGTTTATTTTTTCTTTTTCAGTCACAAGGGTTGAGGCTTTTTGGCAAGTGGAAAACTACTTGTTTCTGTTTTATTAGCTCTTTAAAGGTCTGGGTGAGCTTTAATCAACCATAACTCGCATACAAATCAAGTCATTTTGAGAACCTTACAGTCACAAGATAGGTTTTTTGGCAAGTGCAAAACTGCATTGGCTATATGGGCTGAAACTGAGACTGAAATCTGGGAGACAGAACCGCTCCCGGGACTAAGCTCTCATTAGACAGTGTAACTGCGGCGGTGGCAGGTGTGGTCAGTGGTGTAGGCCTATATCTTTATTTGTATTGAGAGGTAATAGGTAATTAGGTAATTTTCCACTTTATTTTAGTGTTTATTTACTACTTGAATCTGCTCCTCTTCTTCCCACACTGTCACACACCTAGCCTGCTCCTCTGTTCTCTCACGGCAAAGACGTCTGCTTGCACCACCTTTCCATCAGCAGTGTTTTCATAAAGTTACCGTGTTTTAAAAAAAAAGATCCGATTTGGTTTTCAAGTGCGCCGCATGTGGATCTAAACCTAAACTGATGTTAGTGAGGGACATCTGCAGTGGTGCGTTCACCGTGTCAGCCTTAGGGCTGACCACAAATAGTCGAAGATTCGATGCTTTGATGGGCGGAGCCTGATTCTACTGTCAATCTCATAGTTGAAGCTTCATGGCGAAACAAGGATCATGCCATTTTGGCAATATGGAGCTGCTCAACGTCTGATTTTACGTAGAACTACCAGTTTTCTCCCCAATAAGTTAATATACAGCCTATTATGTAAAAAGAATAAAACTTTTTAAACAGGGTGTCTGTGGGGTCTAAAGTCTTAATTGCCATTTAACAAGGTTAATTTTCAATATGAAAATCCTGTTTGTCCAAAGAGTTTGTTTGCTTATTTGTAGGTGAATGTATTTAGGCCTATTTATAATGCATAGCCAAAAATACTAGACAGGCAGTGAGTAGCGACTGTGATTCGTTTCTGTAACGTTAGGCGCAGGGATCTACCAAGCGCCTATTTCACTCTTAAACGCTCCAAAACAGACCGTAATCTCCCACCCCGCCGGACCCGCAATGCGATCAGGAGTAATGGGATTAACCCGGTTGGCCGGTCGCTCTGTGGCCACTTTGAACAGCCCCGTTCCTGGAAAACAAAAGATGCGCGCCAGCAGCGGAATCGGTAGAAGACGACAGGGAAAATTCAAGGTGCGTGTGGGTTTGGCTAACGTTAGGTGGCTATTTAGCTAAATCTGTACCTTTTATTGGAACACATTCAACTTTTCATAAAGCCGATGCTATCGTCAGTGTTTGTGAACAGATCAATCACAGCGGGGATTTTAAAAAAGTTTGATGTGCTGCAACAGACTTTATAAATGTTGAACTCAATGTTCTGCATAAACGGTTACAATTATTGACGAGTTAGTAGCCTGCCCAAAATCAAGGTTGGAGACTATTGTGTAGCCTAGAGCATTTTTCTTGCACAAAGTTAATGAATAAAAAACAACCCCAATTTGAATTAATATTATATTAGTGGTAAGTTGTATACTATTATATGAAATTATATTGAATATAGTAACATAATGAATATATTAATATCAAACTTAAAGTTAACTATTAAATTAACAATATACTTTTAATTTAATGTTATAATATTATACTAATACAGTCATTTAGACTAGTTCCTCCTCCAGGTTGTGCCTGTTCTACACCGCCTACACTACTTATAGTTACTTACTAGTTATTCATCGCTCATTATATTCTCTTCATCTTTGTTCCCTCCTGGCCTATTTGAGTTTTGTGGTGGATGAAAGTTCTCACACATATCATTGCAGGCAAGTTCATATTATCTAGTTTAAACCAACTAAAACACAAAATTACACTGTGGTTCACATGATTTGCTGTAATGTTGCGTACATAAACGTCATAGCTTATGTAAGACAGTTGCTTTTCACAGGAAATCTGACCAGTCCTTCAAATAGAAAACTGTTGGCCCATACAGGCTGAAAGTTGGTGAATGCCTCAATTTTTAGGTGGCGTTACAACCTGATGATGATATAGGAAATAAATATTTTATAACTATATTTAAATTCCTTTTAAAACCTCAAAAATGTCACTCTTTAAGTTGTGTGGCTGATTTTAATCAGTTCCAGCTGGCAGTCTTAAAATATGTTGAAAAGGTCTTGAAAAGGTACTGAATTTTACTTCAGGATTCCTGTGTATATACCCTGTTAAAGTGCGTAAATAAATTCAAAATTGTAACCCTTACCCTGGGTCGTCAGGGCGCATGTGCAGGCGTAGCGTGTATGTGTGCAGTGGCAGTGGAGGAACACTTGCTGAAGAGACGGAGCTCCAGCTTCACTGGTGTTGTGCTGAGTTGTCCTCAGTTTATCTGGAAATTTACAGTGTAAGTTGAATGAATAGAGACTGCAGTCCTGCAGCCTCTCAAGATTAAAGCAGAGGCACCATGTGTTTACCCCCCCCACCCCCATCGATAATTGCCCTGCACAAAAACACACATGATTCGACTATCAGTCGACTATAGGCAGGACTTGACGACTCTGATTCCACTATGTAAATCCTTAGTCAGGGACAGTCCTAGTCCGCTTCATGTAATCTCAAATAGCATCTCTCTCTGTTTCTCTGCAAAATGCCAAAGTGGGTTGCCAGATATACTTTGGCAGGTGCAAATATAACTGGCCCGGCCCGTCCGAGTAAAGCATGTTGAAAACATTGTATTTAAAGTTAGTGTAAGCTGTAGGCTTATATTTTGTAAATATGTCCTTCTTCCAACTGCGTGTATCATGTGACTGGTTTGGTCCAGTCATGGTTGAGTGATCATGCCTGCAACTTCAACTACATTAATTAAGCCTAGATGAAATATAATGACTGTTGCCTCACAGCAAGAAGGTCGTGGAGTTTGCATGTTCTCCCCATGTCTGCGTGGGTTCTCTCCGGGTGCTCCGGCTTCCTCCCACCATCCAAAGACATACCTTAGGTGTGAGTGTTACCGGTTGTTTGTCTATGTGTGGCCCTGCGATGGACTTGGCTTCAGCCCCCCGTGACCCTGTACGCAGGATAAGTGGTTGACGATGGATGGATGGATGATGGATGGAATATAATAACTTGGTGTTACACCCCTAGCATAGCACAATCCAAATTGATTTACCGGTAATAAGGCTTATTGATATATAAGAGAGGGAGCAGGGAGAGGGAGGGAGGACTAAGGCAGCCCACACAATATACACACAGAGGCACAGACAGCAAAGGCGACGCCGCCACAGACTAAATGAAAAATGGTACAGATATTTAGAGTAGTGTTAATGATGATAATCGTATATCGTAATAATGATTATAATTACAATAATAATAAAAGGACTAGTAACAACAGTTGTTTTAGCAGAGGGTGTCGAGCAGGTGACTCGCAGCCACAGATCCAGACTCCACAGCTCCAGAGTCAGAAAGTGATAGGAGGAGAGAGGAGAGGGACGAGAAAGCACAAGACTACCGGAAAGGGGAGAAGTTGTGTGAGTAACATGCAATAATGGGATGAGGTTGCATACAGAGGGAGAGAAAGTAGAGGAGAGAGGAACTCAGTGCATCATTGGAAATCCCCCGGCAGTCTAGGCCTATAGCAGCATAACTAAGGGATGGTTCAGGACTCACCTGAGCCAGCCCTAACTATAAGCTTTATCAAAGAGGAAAGTCTTAAGCCTACTCTTAAATGTGGAGATGGTGTCTGCCTCCTGAACCCAAACTAGAACCTGGTTCCACAGGAGAGGAGCTTGATAGCTGAACGCTCTGGCTCCCATTCTACTTTTGGAAACTCAAGCAACCACAAGTAACCCTGCATTCTGGGAGCGCAGTGCTCTGGTGGGGTAGTAAGGTACTATGAGCTCTTTAAGATAAGATGGTGCCTGACCATTAAGAGCTTTGTAGGTAAGAAGAATGATTTTAAATTCTATTCTGGATTTTACTGGAAGCCAATGCAGAGAAGCTAAAACAGGAGAAATATGATCTCTTTTCCTGGTTCCTGTCAGAACACGTGCTGCAGCATTCTGGATCAGCTGAAGAGTCTTAATGGACTTTTTCAAGCAGCCTGATAATAAGGAATTGCAGTAATCCAGCCTAGAAGTAACAAATGCATGGACTAGTTTTTCTGCAGCATTCTGCAACAGGATGTTCCTGATTTTCGCAATACTACATAGGTGAAAAAAGGCGGTCCTTGAAATTTGCTTAAACGACATGTCCTGATCAAAGATGACTTCAAGATTCCTCACAATGGTGCTGGAGGCCAGGGCGATGCCATCAAGGGAAACTATATCCTTAGATAATGCGTCACGGAGGTGCTTAGGCCCCAGAACAATAACTTCAGTTTTATCTGAGTTTAACATTAGAAACTTATAGGTCATCCAGGTTTTAATATCCTGAAAGCACATCAGTATCATCTGCATAAGTTTATGGAATATTTCCTGATAATATTGCCTAAAGGAAGCATAAAGTGAAGAGGATTGGTCCGAGGACAGATCCTTGAGGAACTCCATGACTAACTTTGGTGTGCATGGACGACTCATCGTTAACATGTACAAACTGAAATCGATCTGATAAATAGGACTTAAACCAGCTTAGAGCGGTTCCTTTAATGCCAATGAAATGTTCCAGTCTCTGCAAT